AAATTGAAGGCTGCAGTCCTTGATCCTTGGCAACAAGTGGCTTCAAGTCCTCCTCACATTCATAGCAGGCAAGGTTGTGTCATAGGCATAACACAGATTATAGAGGAGCCTCCTTTCAATCCTGACGCCACATTCCTCTTCATATAGTCCAGCTTCTCAAACAATTTGCTCAGCACACAGATTGAGTATGTATGGAGAAAGAATACAACCCTGACACACTCCCTTCTTAATTTTAAACTATGTAATGTTTTCTTGCTCTGTTTACTCAACAGTCTCCCGATCTAGGTATAAGTTTTGCATGATCACAATTAAGTACTCTTGGTTTCACATTCTTCTCAATATCAACCATAATTTGTTATGATCCACGCAGTCAAGTGCCTTTGCAGAGTCAGTAAAGCACGAATAGACATCGTTTTGGTATTCTTTACTTTTAGCCAGGATCCATCTGACATCAACAATGATATCCCTGGTGCCATAGTCTCTTCAAAATCCTGCTTGAACTTCTGACAGTTCCCTACTGTTCTAGATGCTTTTGAATGATCTTCAGCAGTATTTTTCTTGCATGTGATAGTAATGATATTGTTAGATAGTTTCCACATTGTCTTGGATCACCCTTCTTGGGAATGGGAACAAATATGAATCTCTTCCAATCTGTTGGCCAGATAGCTGTCCTCCAAATTTCCTGGCAGAGCTGCACACCCTGGGCTGCATCTGTTAAACGAAACAAGTCAACTGGTATCCCCCACCCCAGCCCCGATTCCTAGGGGTCTTGTTTTTTCCAATGCCTTCAATACAGCTCCCACTTCCTCCTTCATTACCACTGGCTCCTGCTCATATGGTACTTCCTGAAATTTTTCCCTGTAAGTCAGTTCTTTTTGGTACAGTGACTCCGTGTATTTCTTCCATCTTTTTTAATGTTAAAAGTTACAAGAGATAGAAACTACACATACTTTCAATTATCATTTTCAGGGGGGAAAGCTGTACAAAAACAAAGCAAACACATTTCTAGTTAAATGCACCAAAGTTATTTCAACTGAAACAAAATATCAGAAACAGCTCTTGGCTGAATCTACACATCTGCAAATGAACCATTTAGGAGAAATCCAATATTCTAAGGTAACTACATCCACATAAACACATACACATGTATGCACTAACATTGTCTTAATATAACAAATTCCTAAGGAAATAATGATGGAAAAGATCTGTGCAATAAAATACCTTAAAATAAATATTAGTTTTTGAACAGAGACTAATGCTTTATTTCTTACATTTGGGACTATCTGATTCTACCACCCTCTGCTTTCTCAAATCTTAGCACATCTATAAAACTCTTAATAGCCACATATTTTTACCTACTCAAAGACCATACATCAGTTTCCCTGAAATAGTAAAAAGGTTTGTTGTTGTCATGTGCCGTCAAGTCACCTGCAACTCAGAGCGATTCTAAGTACAAGAGCTCTGAAGCTGCCCTGTCCTGAGCCAGTATCACTGACTCCAATACAACCTCCATTGCCCCAGTTACTATATCAATCCATTTCATCCAAGGCCTTCTTCTCCTGCACTGTCCCTCCACCCTTCTGAGCATGATGACATTCTCCAAGGATGGGTCCCTGCTGGTCATGTGCCCAAAGTATATGAGACAGAACTACAAAATCCTAGCCTCCAAGGAGAAACTTGGTTTCACACTCTCCAAGACAGACCTATTTATTTTCTCGGAAGTCCATAGTATGGTCAGATCTTAATAAAAAATCCATTTGGTGTATATTATATATATATATATATATAATCTCGTCTCATAAAATAAATATATGAGGAATTGTCTTACTTAAAAATAGTCTATTTCTTTAATTAAACGGTTTCTAAGGAAATTTTCAAGGTCAACTGTTATGGTGAATTCATCAGAATTTTGAAACTACTACAGAAGATGACAAGCTTTCATGCTCCATTTTTATGCCACTTTCATATACTGGGGCAGAAACTATGGTATAACTACTATCCTGACTGGCACAAGAGTTTACAGAATACCTTCACTGTCTTAATTTTAGTTGACTTTTAGAAAAATTTAAAAAAATAAAAATATAAAATGAAAAATTCCATGTAGTAGCCAGAGCAGGTGGTGATGTCATCTTTACCGGCCCATTAAGAGAAGAACAAAACTGAAGATCCTACAGGTGAATGACTTCTCCAAGATCACACACAGTTTGTTAAGTTGTTGCTGTTGTAGTTGATATATGACATTGAGTTCCCTGCTACTCTTTGCAACACTATGTACAACAGTTCTGAACCCTGCTCTATCCTATGCCAACTTTATTCACTTAACCATTGCACAACTTCACCATTGTGCAACCAGGACTCCTGAAGTAGAGGTTGTTTTTACTATTGTTGGGTACCATCAAGTCAACCATGACTTACAGGGACCATATGAATAGTGATCTAAACCCTGACCAGTTCTGAGCCCTCCCGTGGAAGAGGTAGGACTAAGAAATCAGGTCGATGATCCTCAAATTAGGCCTTCTCTGTATGACAGGGCTCCTGACAAAGAACAAGATAATAAACAGAGAACAATGCAATGTGTATGTCAGTAGAAGAACATTTTCCACAAATCTACTTAAGCTATTTCCTTGAAAACATATTTCTTTGAATGTCTTCTAATCTAAACTTCTAAGAGAAAATCTAACAAAAAAATATCTTGTTTTTCATAATCTTGGGCTGAAAGCGAGTTTGGTAACCTCACTGCAGATGCCAGACATGGTAAATAATTTTTACACTAGGCCTTTAGAGATTTAAAAAAAGTTATATGATACTTCTTAAAATGTTGGTATAACCCAGAGAAACTCTCCTTTTAAAGCAATTCTTATGCCAAATTAGCACATGTCACTGAATGTCCTTGTCCAAAATACTAATTGAAACCCCCATTTCTTTGGGATGCATAGATTAGCTACTTACCAGTGACCAGAGTGAATTAATGGCCACTGAGTATTCATAGTTAAATAGATAAGAGGGCTGGAGGGTATCTTTTGTCCATAGTTCTCAATCACAGCATGCAGCATTAAATCAAAATGTGACTCAGGGCATATGGACATTAGCATTAACCCAGCAAAGGACAAAGTTCTCAGAGTTTTCTGATAGAGTCCTACGTGCAAAGTGCAAATAATTCTTTATCTTCACTTTCTCCTCAGAAAATCCAGACAGACTTAATCTAAAAAGTCTAGAGTCAATGGAATTTTAGAGATGACACACCCAACATGGTCACACACCCATGGGTTAAAAAGGAGACAGCTATGGCTGACTCTGAGGAGAATGGGAATCCCAGAACTAATGGTACTAATGCAAAACCTATAATTGGACCAAGAGGGAGTTGTCAGAACAGAGTAAGGAAACACTGCATGCTTCAAAACTGGGAAGGGCATACTTCAGGGATGTGTCCTGTCTCCATACCTATTCAACTTGTACGCAGAAAAGATTATCCGGGAGGCTGGGCTCTATGAGGAGAAATGCGGCATCAGGATTGGTGGAAGGTCTATCAACAGTCTGCGTCATGCAGATGACACAATCCTGCTTGCTGAAACTGAAGAGGACCTGAAGAACTTGCTGCAGAGGGTCGAGGACTGCAGCCTTCAATGTGAATTGAGGTTCAATGTCAAGAAGACAAAGATTTTCACTACTGGACCAATTAATTGGCAGCACCAGGATGGATGGTGAAGAGACTAAAATTGTTCACAGCTTTAGTTTGCTTGGCTCCACAGTCAACACTCTTGGCACCAGTAGCCAGGAAATTAAAAGACGTATTGCCATGGGAAAATCTGTTAGGGACCTTTCCAAAGTGCTGAAGAGCAATGGTGTCACTCTGGAGACTAAGCTGCATCTGATACAGGCCATGGTCATTGCAATCACTTGTTATGTATCAGAGAGCTGGACAGTGACTAGGGAGGATAGAAGGAGAACTGATACCTTTGAGCTGTGGTGCTGGAGAAGAGTATTGCGCGTACCATGGACTGCTAGGAAAACAAACAGATTCATCCTAGAGAGGGTTAAATGGGGAGGCTCCTTGGAGGCAAGGATTCGGAAGCTTTGTCTAACATACTTTGGACATGTTGTAAGGAGGGACTGGTCCTTGGAGAGGGACATCATGCTTGGTAGGGTGGAGGGACAGCACAGGAGGGGAAGGCCCTCTATGGGGTGGATTGATTCAGTGACTGGGATAATCGGGATGGATGTGTCAGAGGCAGTGTGATTGGCACAGGACAGAGCAGAGTTTAGGGCTGTTGTATATAGAGTCACTATGAGACGCAAGCAACTTGACAGCACATAACAACAACAACAACAACAACATTATAAACTGACAGTTTAGTGACCACTAGGCCACAGTCTAATATGCTATTATCCTAGTGAGCAGTGATTATTATTGGGGAAAGCATGAGTAAAAAGATTTAGGGAGCTCTGAGTGGGGAAAGGACCTTGCTTTAATAAATTGTTTCCCCCACATCCAAGCCAGGGAGATGAAGATTTTGAAAGAATGTGAAATTTGCTAAGTGATTTCCTGAGAGGTTCTAGAGAAGACAAAGGAGCGCAGCCCTCCCCATCCCACAACCAGTGTCTTGACTTTGGCCATGGGAGGAACTGATTCTTAACTCTACCTGAGCAACTGCAAACAGCAAGTGCTCCTCCCATTGCCCTGCCACATGATTTGTTGCAACTTTGGTAATATGGGCATGGGTGAGGGTGGTGTTCATCCAGCTGTGACACAGGACTAGAGTGGGGTGAGAAGGCGAGGTTATAATCCCTCCTACACACACACACACACACACACACACACACACACACACTCTCTCTCTCTCTCTCTCTGCATGGACAGCTTAACCAGATCTAAATCAGAGAACGAAAACAAGAGTCTCTCCTTAACCTGGCACCTACAGAGTCACTCATGCATTGAAGTCCCTCCAGGTCATCAAGAATCTTATCCTCAGTAGAAGGCATAAAAAGATCATGGAGCTCACCTTTTGGCTTCCTCTAAGTGGCACAAATATTCATAAGCGATGTTCTGCCGCCTCCTCTCATCCATCTCCTCTGCAGAGAGCCTTTCATCATCCACGATCGCTAGAGATTGAAAAGGGCAGCATGTTACTTCAAGGGCAGTAGACCATCAGTTCAACAATGATCATTCAAAACAACATAGACAGAAACTGCCTTTGAATACAGCAATTTTACATCATTTCTAACAAAACATCACTACTAAAATGTAGGTGAATTACACCTATGTTCATAGCAGCATTATTCACCATCACACATGGAAACAGCCCAAATATCCAACCACAATAGAATAGCTTGAGAAATTATGGTATACTCACATGAAAGAATACTACACCACACGCAGGAGCGATGATTTTGAAAAGAACTAGCTTGCTTGGCTTCACAATCAATACTCATAGTACCAGCAGCCAGGAAATCAAAAGATGAATTGCATTGGGAAAGTCAACTGTCAAGTACGTTTCCAGAACACTGAAGAGCAACAATGTCAGTCTGGAGACTAAGGTGTGCCTGATCCCAGCCCGTGGTCTTCTCAATTACATGCTATGCATCAGAAAGCTAGACAATGACTCGGGATGATGGAAGGAAAATTGATAACTGAGTTGTGGTGTGGGAGGAGAGTATTGAATATATTATGGACTACTAGGAAAACAAAGAGAGGGTGAAACCAGGCTGCTCCTTGGAGGCAAGGATGCCAAAGCTCCATCTGACATACTTTGGGCATGTTGCAAGAAGGGACCAGTCCTTGGAAGAGAAATTATGCTAGAGAGGATGGAGAGACAATACAATAGAGGAAGACCCTCGATGAGATGCATTGACTCAGTGGCAGGGGTAATAGGGGTAGGTGTGTCAAAGACAATAAGGCTGGCACAGGACAGAGCAGGGTTCAGAGCTTTTGTACACAGAGTCACTATGAGTCACAGGCGACTTGACAGCACATGACGACAACAACTTAACTTGGAAAGGGCTAGAGAGCATTATGTTAAATGAATTAACTCAGACCCATAAGGACAAATACTATATAAAACCATTATTGTAGAAATAGAAAGATAACTAGTAAAAGGTTGTATGAGGAGCCAATGGGTCAGGGTAGGAAAAAAACTATGAGGATGGGCAGGGGGGTAATCACAGGGTCACACGATTGATGGGTAGATGGAGGAGTGGGTAAAGGAAATTGGAAAGATCCAGGCTGAAAAACAATGTAGACAAACTTTGTAAGCAAACCAGTACACAATAAAAAATGAAGAAAAAAAAATGGCCAATGAATAAAGATGACAGAAGAAGAAAGAAAAAAATTTACTCAAAATGATACCAAAGTAACAGAAAGAAAATGCCAATTGGATTTCTTAGACATAATGCCGTATCATTTAGAGAGGCTCAAATGAATGGGACATGCTCTAATAGCAGTAACTTTCCTTAATTAACTCGGGGAATTGGTCCAATACCTGAGCTTGCAGAGCAATACCTCCACACTGCAAGCCCTGGGGTTGAATAAGGAAACTACCAAGACTTGCCTTGTTCACGTTCAGGGTTGGGGTGGTGGTGGTGAAGGCTTCTTTTGGAATCCCAAAGACAGATAAATCCTTTTATAGAAATGTCCATGTCTAAAATCCTGTCCTCCCTACTTATGGGTCTTTATAAAGTCTGATTAGCAGATACAGGAAAAAAGAAGACATCAATCAAGAACAGTTTCCAATGCCACACTCTTTACTCCAACACATGCCTAGTTTACAAATGTCAACACTTCAGCCTGGTGTTCTGCAGAGAACATTTCCTGACTGCATTTCCTCTGCCCACTGTCTCTCCACATTATGCAGGTGGCTGCCTGAATTATCACAAGCTCTTTGCTATCTACTTACATGACAACACTTCTTCCTCATAAAAGGACCTTTTTGTCTCTCTTTAATCCCTGAACTTTAATTCTGATGTCTAGAAAGTTAATTTGCTTCTAGTTTGGTGTTTTTTTTTTTTATTCTCTTCTAATGAAAACAGTGTGTATGTGTGTGTCCAGCAGCGGTATGATCACATGGAATAGGAATGGCAGTGTTTGCTTTCTGGTACCCCGACCACCAGCTCCAGTCTGTGTCATTTTCATATATGAAAGCCCTGGTCACAGACTGAGGATCTGGATGGGTAGGTCAGATATCCACTTCTAAGAGAACCATCTCAATCACATCCTTAAAGATAAGTCAGAAACATCACCTTTGCTAACAAAAAAAGAATTAAAGTAAAATATTTTGAACTATTGTGGAGAGGCATCAAGATGAAGACTGAACATAAATCTATTAACAGAAAAAAATACTAAAACCCAAGTATAAAACAATTACACTGGCATATATAGTGCATTTCAGAAAATGATGTCCATGTTACTGGCATAAAAATAAAATAAAATATTGGTTCACTTTGAACACAAGGCTTGCTATTTATTATACTGAAATTCAAAGTGATAAACTATATGTGATAATAATGAAAATAACTCACAATGCAGAGTTTATGTTGAACTCTCTATACAGTGTTTGGTGGAGCTCCCAGATTGAGACAGGCTTGGAAGCAGGAGTGGCATCTACTTCCTAAACAACATGCCTCTGGAAACTCTATGAATGTAAAAATATTACGACAGTTATAGAACAAGGTCCAGGTCTTTTGTTTCTAGAATCGCTACGAGTCGTGCTTGACTCAATAGCACTTAACAACAACAACAATAGCAACACGGAGAGAAAAATTATTATCCTGTGGGATTTATTGCCTCTGAAAACCTGCTAGAGGGTCAGCTATGAATTGGTTCCAATTTGATGGTACACCACACACACACACACACACACACACACACACACACACACACACACATCTGGGGGAAATATCCTGCTTGAGACCACGATTAAAACCAAAAGAGAGAGAGAGAGATGAAATTGTTACCAAAGTTGTACAAAGTAGAACACCATAAACATGGAAACATACTACCTGCTTATTTATCCAGCACCTACTTTGTTTTTCAAGGCCCTAGACAGAATGGTTTCTTTCAATTTTCTGTAAAATAAATTATAAAACCCAAAAATTTACTGACTGTGTGTAGATTCCAACAGAGACTGTAAATCTTTTTGGGAGCCAATAGCCACATCTTCCTGCCTCAGGGAAGCTGGTGGGTTTCAACCACTATCTGCACTTTAACCACTTTTAGAGCCAAGCACTTTATTAACTTGCCATCAGAACCCCTCCAGTAGGTCACAAAAGCAGTGACAGAAGGGAGCTCTGGTGACCTAGTGGCAAGAAGCTGCACTGCAATCCACAGGGTTTGAAACCACCAGGTTCTCTCCTGGAGAAGGAGGGGCAATCTCTTTCTGTGGTACACAACAAGGGGGTGAGGGGAAAAAAAGGCAGTGTCAAAAGGAACAAGAATTTCCATATATATTACCATGTTTTTTCCATCTCCCCTCCTAACTTTCAATTTTCCATGTGTCTCTCTCCATTCCTTAAAACAGGGAAGCATCATCCAATACACATATTAATGGAAAGTATCTTCTTTAATAAAGTAGATCTCATTTTCCTTTAGAAGAGAGCTCTCAAATTTAAGTATAACAGCCTTTCAGCAACCCACCTCTGCATCTCCACTGAAAGTCCAGGCATTTAACATCCCTCCCTGGGGCTCTCAGAACAGAGTCCTCACATGGTCTCCTACCTAACACCTCTCCTCCACCCATTCTCCACACTGACACCAGAAGCATCTTCCTAACAATTCCACTACTGTTACTTCCCCTCTCATATCTACAGAACAAAGTAACAGCACACTTTCTCACTTCCCTTCTATAAAACCTAAGTTTTCATGTCCCTTCTGGCAGTGCCATGTTCCAGCACCATCTCACTCCCTTGCACGCTTCAGTGCTTCTAATATCTTCCTCTCTGCTTTGAAAGCCATTCTCCCATCTTTCTCATGACATCTACTTGCTCCAAAAATCAGCCAGTTGAAAGCCCCATGGAGTGATTTTTTTTTTCTGACACCTATGAGGTCACCATGAATGGGACTGGATACTCAATGGTGACTGTCTTTAAATGTACCCAGTGTGCATCTAATAACAAGAGACAGCAAACAAGAATGTCTGCCCTCATGAAGTCTGCTTTCACACATCTCTCCTTTCCTGCTACAGACTTAACCCACTACCCTCAAATCCCACACACTTCAACTTTCTGTCATTCGGGAGTAAAGTATACCTTTGCCATCTTATTATTAACTGCAGACCAGGTTATGAGCTTGAGAATGTCTTAATCACAGAAAAGAAAAAGAAAAAAGCAGATTTTTCTCTGCCACAGAGGTTACTTGCAAATATTTCCGTATTACTCATTTACAAAAATTAGCTTTTGATAAGAGCTACTGGCATGAGTAATATCTCTACCATTTACAGAGCCATCACGGAGCTGATAATTCCTTTACTACATATAAAGCACTTTTCCATATGTTATTGTGCAATTGCCACAATTACCCTGGCATTATTTCTTTCTAAATAAATGAGGAAGCCTGAGGTCAAGCAAGGAGAAGTGTCCTTTAGGCCTTTCTTCCCCAGCTCCCCTCCCCCACCACGCCCACAGGCTGACTCAAGCTCTTACAGGAGGAACATTGCCTTTGCTTTGCCCTGTGCCATGCAGCTGCCAACGAGGCTGGGAGAGGGCTTATCGCCATCATACCCAGGCTGGGGGGTCATTTAAGTGGCAGAACTCTCCCTTCCTTATTGGAAAGCAACTTGATTAATAACCATTTCTTCTAAAGCTCATTTTTTTCATCAAATCAATTTAAATTTCAGAGTAATCCTGTAAGACAAAGGATTCTCAATGGATTCCCAAAGCTGTAATCTTTGCAGAAGCAAACTGCCACATCTTTCTCTCATAGATCAACTAGTTGGTTCAAAATGCCAATATATTTGGTGAGTAATTGAGCACTTAACTACTCCACTGCCAGGGCTCCTTTCTAAAGTATTGTTGTTATGTGACATCGAGTCGGAAATGCCTCACAGCTGAGCCTCCTCCAGTGGGTTTTTAGAGGCTGTAAATCACACAAGAGAAGAATTTTCA